CTCTGTAAAATGCTCATTAAAATTATTAAAAATAATAATAATAAAGCTTAAGAAGAAAAAAAAAGAAAAGTGAGTGCAAAACTAGTAACCTGTGCATCTTATTACTATCAGGTGCTGTCGTGCAAGGTCCAACACTGAGCAATCCTGTACACCTCTGAGAGAAACACTGCCTGGCCCGGCGCCGGCACCCCAACTCCTGCTATGTACAAACCCATGATGCAGTTTTCCTCTTTTTCTTCAGCATCTATCCTTCAATCACATTTTGTTTCACACAATCATTGCCATTCATTAAGCTTCCTAAAATTAATCACCACTGAACTATGCCCACCAGTACCCTGTCTTTCCAGGTCCCTGCCTGATCTTTCCCACTTCCTTTACCTGCCTGTCCTCCACTCACCAAATTGTGTGAGTCTATGATTTATAGCTTGTCCATCCTCACCCACTGCTCCCATTCTCCCTGCATGGGATCCTCATACACATTTTAATGTTTATCGTTCTACTTCTACAATAATAGTCTTATGAGGTATTTGTCTTTATGAGACTAAGTTTGTTCACTCAGCATAATGCTCTCCAGACTCTCTCAAGTCATGTAGTAATTTACAAAGTCATTGCTCATGAATGCTGTGTAGTATTCCACTGTGTGAATGTACACAATTTCTCAATCCATTTCTTTGTGGTTGCACCTTTGGGCTGTTGCCACATTCCTGAGACTGTTATAAACGCTGGTGTACAAATCTCTGCTTGTGTCTCAGTTCTCATTTTCTTGAGGTCTAGTCCCAGCAGTGGAATAGCTGGGCCCATAAAATAAGGGATTTCTATATTCAGCTTTTTGAGGAAATACCAAGTTGCCTTGCAGAGTGAATGAGAGTTCCTATGTCTCCACATCCCCATTTTCCTTGCTGTGCTGTCAACCTTTGCCACTGCTACTGGTACTGAGATGGTATCTCATGGTTTCAATTTGCATCTCTCTTCCTGCCAGCAATTTGGAGCATTTCTTCATGTGTCTGTTAGCCATCCAATAGTCTTCTTCCTTGAAAAGTCTTTCCATGCCTTTTGCCCATTTTAAAATTGGGTTATTGATCTTTTTTTGTGTGGAGACCGTGCAGTAGGTTTTAAATTTTTTAAGTAAAGGTGTCTGAGATGGTATTGCCAAACTTTTTTTTCCAAGTAAGTAGGTTTTCTATTCAACCTGTTGGAAAATTTTTTTTATACATACAGGAATTTAATCTTTAGAAGGTCCAATTCATCAATTTTACCCTCTCCTGACTTTGCATTTCTGGCTGTTATTTGTCAGCTTCTTTATAACCTAGGCTAGGCCTTCATAGCTTGGTCTCATTTTGTCTCTCATGATCAATATGGTTTGGGTCTTCCCTAGGTTCCCTGATCCACCTTGAGTTGATTTCTGTGTAGGGTGAGAGGTGTGGATGCTGCTGCAGCTTTCTGTAGGTGTTGCTGTTGTTGTTAGGTGCCACCCAATCAAATAGAACTCATAGCGACCCTATAGACAAAAGATCTGAACCCAGTCCTATCGTGCGCTGTCCTCACACTTGGTGACACAAAAGAGCCCACTGCAGCAGTCACTTTGTCAATCCACCTGGTTTTCTTCTCCTTCACTGATCCTCCACCCTTCCCAACCTCATATCCCTCTCCAAGAAACAGCACTTCCTTAGCAATATGTCCAAAGTATGTGAGGCAAGGCCTCATCATTCTTGCCTCCAAAGAGTACTCCGCCTGCACCCTCTCCAAGACATATCTATTTGTTTTCTTGGCCGTCTATGGGATGTTCAGTGCTCTTCTCCAACACCATAGCTCAAAGGCATCAATTCTTTATCTGTCATCTTTATTCACTTTCCAGGTCTCAGATGCATAGCTAATAATAGGAAAGACTATGGCCTGAATTAGACATATCTTAGTCCTCAAACTGACATCACTACTCCTCAATAATTTGGAAAGGTCACTAACTGCAGATTTTCCCAGTGCAATGCATCTCCTTATTTTCTGACTGCTCGTACCAAGGTTGTCAACTGTGGCTCCAAGAGTGATGAAGCTGTTGACAGTTTCAATCTCCTCTCCATCCATCATGACACTGCCTCTTGGTCCAGTGTTAAGAATCTTTGTTTTATTTATATTGAAACTCAACTCATACTGAAGGCTGCATTCTTTGATCTTTGCAACAAGTGCTTCAAATTCTCCTTAGTTTCAGCAAGTTAGTTTGTGTCATCTGCATAACACAGGTTATTGATGAGTCTCCCTCCAATCCTGATGTCACATTCCTCTTCACAGAGTCCAGCTTCTCAGATAATGTGCTCAGCATACAGAGTGAACAGGTATGGATACAGACCACATCCCTGACACACTCGTTTTCCAATTCCAAGCTCCCCTGCTCCATTCACACAACAGCCTCCTGGTCCAGATATAGGTTCCTCATGAGCACAATCGAGTGCTCTGGGATTCCCATTCTCCTCATTGTCAGCCACAACTTGTCATGATCCACACAGTCAAATGCCTTTGCATAATCAATAAAGCACAAACAGACATTCTTCTGGAATTCCTTACTTTCAGCAAGGATCCACAGGGCATCAGCAATGATATCCCTGGTGCCACAGCCTCTTCTAAATCCCGCTTGAACTTTTGGCAATTCCCTATTTATGTACTGTTCCAGCCATTTTTAATGATCTTCAGCAGTATTTTGCTTGCATGCAATATAAATGATATTGTTCAATAATTTCCACATTGAGTTGGATCACCCTTCTTGGAAATAGGAATAAATATGGACCTCTTACAATCCGTTGGCCAGACAGCCATCCTTCAAATTTCCTGGCATAGACTGGTGAGTGCATCCAAGGCTAAATCTGTAAACTGAAATAAGTCAATTGGTATTCCATCAATTCCTGGGGCCTTATTTTTTTCTTTTTTTTTTTTTTTTGCCAATGCCTTCAATGCAGCTTCCACTTCCTCTTTCATTACCACTGGCTCCTGAAATTTTTGTGTCAATTCTTTCTGGTACAGTGACTGTGTATTCCCTTTATCTTCTTTTGATGTTTTCTGGGCCATTCAATATACTGCCCACAGCATCTTTCAGTCCAGTTTTGCCAGCAACCACTTGAAGAGGTTGTCATTTTCCCATTTGACAGATTTTGTTTATTGACTATCTATCTATAGATAGATGGGTTAATTTCTAGGTTCTTGAGTCAGTTTCATTGGTCTATGTGTCTGTCATTGCACCAGTAACATGTTGTTTTGGTAACTACAGTGGTCTAGTAGATTTCTGAGATCAGGAAATGCAATGCCTCTCCAGTTCTGTTTTTCAGAAGTGCTTTGCTTTTTCAAGGTCTCTTTCTTCTCCAAATAAACTTAAAAACTGCCTTTTCCATCTCTTTGAAAAATGAAATTTGGTCTCTGTATAGTAAATGTATTAAACATGAAGATTGCTGTTAGTAGGATTATCATTTTCACTCTATTGAGAATTCCTATCCATGACCAGGTAACATTTTCCCATTTACTTAGGTCTTTTATCATTTCTATCAGAAACAGTTCATAGTTTTCTTTGTAAAGGTCTTTTGTCTCTCTAGTTAGGTCTATTTAACTTGTGGTTGACTATTGTATTTCCTATTTTCTTTCTGTGTGTTTTGTTACTGCGGAGGAATCCCACTGCTTTTTTTTAAAATTTATTATTAGTTTCAATGAAAATTTACAGAGACTTTAGATTTCCATTCATTCATTGTTGCACTTTTCTCCCCTCCCAACCCTCTCCCCCAGTAGACTACTCTCTTGGAAAAGTAAAAGAAAAATTCTTTCATTGTTTTACAATCCTTGACCCCAGGTCTGCTCCATAATACAGCCTTCGCTCAGGACTCCTGTCATGACAAAAATACCTAGTAAGATATCCCTTTTAAATAGTTTCTCCCTCATCTGTTTCAATGAAGTATACATTACTGAACCCATCATTCTCAGTCTCCTCCCCAACCCTGAGGTCAGTCCTGTTATACAACAGTGGCACCATGCAGTATTTGTCCTTTTGTGACTGAGATACTTCACTCAGCATAATGTCCTCCAAGGTCCCCCATTCTGAATAATATTGCATGAGTTCCTTGTTTTTCAATGCAGCATTGTATTCCATTGTGTGAATATAACACAGCTTCTCTATCCATTAGTTTGTTGATGGACACATAGGTTGATTCCAATTCCTTGGTATTGTGAACAAAGCTGCGATAAACATGGGTGTGCATCCCACTGCCTTTTGTATGTTTATCTTGTATCCTGTCACTCTACTAAATTGGTCTACTAACTCTAACAGGTGTTTTGCCCTAGTTCTTGGCGTTTTCTGTGTACACTATCATATCATCTGAATACAGTGACAGTTTCACCATCTCTTTGCCCATCTGGATGCCTCTTATTTCCTTTTCTTGTCTGGTTATCCTTTCTTTACCATGCAAGATAGCCTTCCCCAAGGAATGTTCCCTCCTTATATATACCTTATGTATGTGAGTCAAAATCTCTCCATCCTTTTTTCTAAGGAGCATTCCGGCTGTACATCTTCTAGGATTTGTTCGTTCTTCTAATAGTCAATGGTATATTAAATACTGTTCAACAATACCAAAATTCATTGGTTTTCCTTATTCATTGTCCAGCTTTTGCATGCATGTGAAGCAACTGAAAATACTCTGGGCTTTGAGGCTGGTCTATCTTACTCCTCAAGTGACATTCTTTCTTCTTAAGATTTTTTTTTCTTCTTAAGATTTTTAACAGGCAATGAATGAATGGAAATCCAAATTCTCCGTAAATGTTCATTAAAATTATTTTTTTAAAAAAAAGAGTTTTAACAGGTCTTTTAAAGCAGATATGCCCAATGCAACACCCATTTGGTTTTTGAGGTTGGGTTTTTTTTTATTTTTTTATTTCTTGACTGTTGCTTGATTGTAGGAGGTCCAAATAAATGAAATTCTTGACAACTTTTATCTTTCCTCCATTTTTCATGATGTTGCCTACTAACTATATGCATTTTTGTTTCCTTTCTGTCGAGGCACAAAATATAGAACAGAATGGTGCTGCATGTGACCTAGCGTTATCTTGTCAGTGGTCGTCCTTAAGACCATTCCTGGAGGCACTGCAGAGTTAAAAAGGGGCGAATGAACCAGGTCATGACTTCATTCATCCATTAACCCTACAACACTTGTAAGTCCCTTCAACTGCTTGTTTTACCATGTAATTCCAAACACCCAAGTCTAGAAAGATCTCAAACAGATTAAGTAATTAGGTGATTTGTACATCAAACATATGATCATGGACTTTTGTTGATATTCTTATACCTACTAACTTTGTCTAACAAAGTTTTACCTGGATTCTCAATAGAAAAAGAGTGTCAGAAAAAAGTATTATCATAGTGTGAGTTTTATTCAGTGAACTCAGGCTGCCTTTCTCCACTCCTCCCACAAGTCTACTATGATCTTTTTAAAAATGAGATATAGAGACTCACTTTATATAATATCAAGTTTAAGAATATTTTCAATTTTATAATAAAGGTACAAAATAAATATATAAAATTAATTATTAATTAATATAAAGAAATAAACAATTAATAACTTACTGTTTTAAGTTCTTGGCGCAATTGCTGGTTATAATTTGTAGATTCTTCCAATCGAGCTTCTAAAGCAGCAATTTTTTCTTCTTTTATTTCAAGAGACTTCTTAAGAGTAGATTCTAGTTTTGACTCCAAAAGTTTGTACCTGCTACCCAGATATAAAGGTTCAGCACTGGAAGTAAATACAAAATCTTTAAACAAATAACTGATGACTCCAAATAAGGCTATACGTCTGTTTTAACATCTTTTTTTAGCAAGGTGGATTAATCCTCTCTTTGTCTTCCAATTCCTGGTCACAAAGCACCAAAAATCAGTCAGTAAATGAGCTTGTAGAAAAGGCACCTGAAGATCTGTGTTCCTTATCATTCCCTGTAGTCTTACAAGAACAGAATCCATACCAAGAGGAAGAGGATAAATTCAGCGTGTCACCATATATTTGCCCATAATATGTATTTGTGCGAGGAAACAATCAGCTAAGCCTTAGGAATCACTGAAGACTATCTTCAGAATACAGAACATTTAGAGTATTTTAAAAAGACAGTAACACTGGAGAGTGGTAACAAAGGGAGAAGCAAATAGATGTAATTGTCAATAATCTAGTTATTTTTTTAGATGATAATGAAAAATTACAATATTAACTATAATATTTTAACTTTATATAGCCAGTTTGAGAATTTATTATAAACCAGAGATAATTAAATTGATTCATTAACTTAAGAATTGTGATGTGAAACCCATAGATAGGATATATTAAAAGACAGTGAGGGATTTCAGGTGGCCTAGTAGTAAGGAGCTGCACTGCCAACCCAAAGGTACACTGTTTGAATCCACCAGTCTCTCCTTGGGAGAAAAGGTGGGCAATCTCCTCCCATGAGATTAACTACCTCTGAAAACCCACTAGAGGGTTAGCTAGGAGTTCATTTCAACTTGAAGGTACATAACAACAAAAGACAGTTAACTGAATTAGCAGGTATTTATACACAAGGTATGTCTTCATCAGATATCTGTATAATTAATTCAATTATGGCTGTTCGACTTAAGCACACTGCTATGAAAAATACGCCTCGCATTACTTTTGTTACTGAACACTTTAAAAAGTAACAATATACTGAATTATTTAAAAAATTAGTATAAATCCCATATAATTAACATTATTCTATACATTCATTTAAAATAGAGTAAAAACACTGATCAGAACAATAACAGTAATACAATGGCATACATATTAAAATACAGACAAATAACAAAAAAAAATTCTAGCACTTAAAATCTAATCTACACAAAACAATACTCAGATACAATACAGGATTCCAAAAACTTCACTATTTAAACAGAGTGGTATCCACTTCCTAAATAACATGTATCAGGAAACTCTATGAACTTTAGTAATGGCTTCAGGCCTTTTGTTCACAGGGTTGCTATGAGTCAGGCTCGACTTGAAGGCAATCAACAACATCATCATATATGTCACAGGGGCTGGGAGACTATGGTAAAAATCTGATTTTTGTAATTATATCTTCCAAACATCTCTACCTCTGTTGGCACTCTTCTCTGCTACTTAAAACATTTCCGTGTTCCTACCCTCTGGCTTGATATTATTTTGTTTAATTTCTCACTTTTTTTTCTTACAAAGTTTTCTCTGAAGAATGGAAAGGACCAAAAACAAGGATAAAAATGCCCAGATGTTCTCTGTGCTTAGTGAAGGAGAGAATCAATGTTTCTAGAAGAACAAAACTGAACTGTTTGTCAAGCAAACAATACTCACCTGTCATCAGTACTCTGCTCATCATGTAAGAGTCGCTCTTTATTTAATCCTATCTTTTCAAGCTCATGAGTTAGTTTTTCAAGATCATTGTTCATTTGCTGAGTCTTCAATTTTTCACTCACTAAATCCTTATTTTAAAAGAAATGCAGAAGTTTAATAAAAGTCAAGAATATAAAAAATCTAGGAAGTAATTCAAGATTCTAACAATTATCATCTAAGAACACACACAATTCAAACAAGGGAAGACATAGATATCCTTAATCATTAAAAACTAGTT